GTGAGACAAAGGAGAGAGGATAAGGATAGAGACAGAGAGAGAGAGGGAAAGAGAGAGAAAGACAAGTGAATCTGTCGCTAAGAGGTGGTCTCTAAGGGCAGCCTGTTTTGCGGTGCTAATTAACCCCAGGAAATAATTACACAATATGCAAATGCTGTAGTGATAAGTGTGGGCTCTATCAGAGTGGGGAGTCAATCACATGGTGGATAATGTGCATGGGTGTGGGTGGATGTGTGTACCTTTGTTTGTTTGTTTGTGCGTGTGTGTGTGTGTGTGTGTGTGTGTGTGTGTGTGTGTGTGTGTGTGTGTGTGTGATGCGGTGGTCAGGTGTTGGACTCTGTGTTTGGGTGATAAGGTATGGGGATGTTACCTGATGTTTCCAGTGTGTCACAGAGGAGCAGTCTTGCACACAAACACTCACACACAGTTGCGTACACTCTGACAGCAGCACAGTGAACAGTCCTTGATGTCCAAACACCTCCTCTGGAGTATTAAAGCAACGTACGCTTTCTATTGACTGAATTTGTGGAATGTGATGATTTTGGTTCTGTTTTTATAGTCATACTAGGAAATCTAGGAGTTTTGCATTAGAAGGGATTACTGTTTAATCACTGTGTGTTCTGAATAACGTTACTGTCCCATCTCTGTTTTTCCATTTGAAAACTTTTACATAAATTTTGTTACAACAAGGTGTATTAAAAGTTAATTTTTTTGTTTTTCTTTCTGCTGTAAAGTTACTGTTTCAGGTCTTATTATGATAGCGACTGTACTGTTTGTAAGAAGTAGGGGGCAGTAAGGCTTCTGTTATGTTGTGGCACTGTACAAGAAGAAATGTTTATTGCATCATTGAAACTTTGAATGATGATGGAAGCGAAACTAAAAAGACGTAATTGGTTGTTTAGTTCAAAAATAGTGGATTAATCCAGTACAGAAATAATCATCAGATGCAGCTCTTAAAAGGAGTTTTGCTGGTCACTAATAATTCACCCTAATTGCTTATCCATAAGTGTTTTAAAGTCAGTCAGAAATCTTAAAAAAAAATATATATATCCTTTCGTACCATGAAGTATTTCTAAATGAAACATTGTATCTCCAACAGAGATGCTCTGAAATTTTGGCCACCATGATTTTTTTATCCAACAGTGGCACTTTCAGTTTGCGTCCAAAAGAAAGTAATGGTGTTAAAAGTGTTAAGACTGAAGTGAAATAATCCAAATTGTAACGAAAATGAGAAACAGTGATTGAAAATGCTGGTGGTCCCGTTCACTTTCCTGTGTTGGTCAGTGCAGACATATTCAGTCAGTATGAATGGCAGCAGATCAACAATGAACATTTAGACCATGTAAAATTATTTCAGAGTTTCTAAGAGGGTCATTAGCCAAGCGCTTTCAAATCAGTGTCATGTGTTTCATGAGGGGATACAACACCCAAGATCTTCACCACTACAGGTTTAATAGTGCTTGATGTCATTCTGCTTTATATGCAAAATACAGCAAAACAACAGAAGCTAAAATGAAAGTTGGAGGGGCAGGGGACACATAATATCATGATGATGTAGTGAAAACTCTGATGATATTTTAAAGGTGAGCAGAAGTCACTGCACTTCAGTCAAAGATTATAAGAAAACAAGAATTTGTCTTTAAAATGGGATGGTATGTTGAATCATGCATAATATAACCAAGAACATGAGCTAACAAGATAAAAAAGGTAAATTTTCATTTCATATTAACTTTAACAGGCTCTACTTACGTTAATAAGAAAGCATTGCTTATTTGTGTGTTTGTCTGAGTGTCCTGTGATTATAAAATCTCCTGCCTCTGATGGTGCTCTTTGTGTATGTGTGAGGCTGAATGAGTTGTTCAAAGGCCTTTGATGTCACAGGATATGTCACACGGAGACATGCGGTGTTCTGAAGCGTCTGAGGCGGAGTCCGCTTTCTTTCGGTTGCATCACACGTTAGCTGCCACACCTCCACCCCTCTACATCTCCCCCTACTCGTATTTGTTATCCTTCATATTTATTTACTGTTATAAGCGTGCGCTGTTTAGGAGTGGCAGGAAATCTCTTACTCTCTGTCAGCTGCTTCAGTTTTAATTCAGTTATTAAGCTGTTTTCAGAAGCTTAATCACTGCGTGAATGCTGAGGCAAGAAAAGGAGAAGAGCTAAGCAATGAGGTGCAAACAGTGAACGAAAGTTGATCACCATACGGTGGGCTGGTCTGTCTGTGTCTATGCACTGTGTTTGTCATGATTTCACAATTTAAGTTTGATACCAATCTTAAGTGTAGTATCACAATGTTCCATACCAAAATTTAAAATCAGTTATTGTCTGAATTAAGGCTGAGAATCACTGAAAAATTGTTCAAACAATACCAATAATTTGACTTCAATACTGATTCCTGAACTACTTTTTTTCCAGTGACTTCTTTATACTTACAAACTGGAAGTGGGTGCATCTTAAAGGGCAGGTCCATCAGTTTTTTTAAGTTCTGCCTATATAAATGCTTAAAATATAAACAAGGTCGCTCAAAAGTGGTTCAATGTGAAATACTCAATTCTAGGAAAATCTTCTGATTGAGAATTGTTCACAGTGGTGATAGGAGGCTTTATGACATGGAGAGGTTATAAACATGCTGCCTAATAGTTTTGAGAAAGGTTTGGCTTAAAACATATTTTTAAAAATAATTATTAGTGGAGAGTTACGTGCAGGACAAGGCTAGGGAATAAAATGGCTGTACATGGCTGTACATACAGTTCACATCAAACTACTCTAAATGACTTTGTTTGCAACTCAGCGATTGAATTATTGAACAATTAGTGGAATTCCCCTTTAAATCTTTTGCTGGAAATGGGAATATTTACTGACCGCAGTGGATTGCAGACTAATCAAGATGCGCTGATGTTAATAACTTGCATGTGGAAATTAATTAAGACAGCCAGTGACTAGTCTAGGTTTTGAAGCAAGCATGTGTATTGGCTCACAGGTACTGATAAGACTGACTAATTAGGTATTGAAATTTGGTATTGAGTAAGGGTTTAACAGTACACTCAAATCCCGACAGAGGCTGATACGTGATACTATGTTCATGATCCAATATTCTCATGATATTTTTATGTAATTCAAATGGAGAAAATTGATGACAGTAATCATATTATTGCACTTACTATGACAGTAGAGTTGGAGGCTGGAGTGCTGGAGTGAGTTGTTGATTTGTGTTGATCATTTGCAAACTCTGGTGTTCAAACATTTTTTTTTTTTTTAAATATTTTTCTTTGATAATAAATTCATGCATCACCTGGTCTTACAAAAAATGTCAAGCATAGTTCTGCTAGAAAAAACAGCATAGCTGGTCACCAGCAAAAGCAGCATATCGCTGTTGTTGGAAGAAAACTTTGTATCTTTTCGTTTTTCAGTTTTTGACAATTTTTGAAAATGTCTGTTGTCCTTTACATCGTTTGTAAATTTCATGATGAATGGACTAAAAGAAACGACCCAAAATGACTTGGTGAAAAAGTCTGGTTCCTTTGACTTACATTAAAAGTAAAGTAGGTTTTTTACTTGTCCTGTAAAGTTACCATTTTGGAGATGTGACATTTTCTGTCCAACAACAGCGAAATGTTGTGTTTTAGATGCTGGTGTGCTGGTCAGCAGCAACGGAAGTTGTTATGCTGAGGTTCATGTGACACTACTGTATGTCATTAATGAGCTTGAGCCTATCACAAACCATTATATTAAAATACGTCAACGAGAGGATGTGCCAGGCATCACTGGGTCCAGCCATCCGGCCCCAAGCTCAGACGAGAGCCATGGGAAGCAGATTGAATCCACTCCTGATGCCAAACCAGCGTCAGCTGGCTTTGGTTAAGGGCAGCACGAGCATCTGATCTGAGAAGAAAAGAGAACTTGTTTCTCCTTCTCTCATTGCCTCAGCAGCTGCCCCACTAGATGTTAGCACTAAAAACTAGCATTAGTTTAGCGAGAAGGCCTACAGAACCACCCAGGTTCATTCTGACTCATTGAACCATAGTGTAACAGGTAAATTCGTGTACTGTATTATTTTACTGCATATTGTGACTGTAATAAATATCAAACATGGCCTGGTGAATCAGTAATGTTTCATTAATTAGCCCACTTTTTTTGTGATTTTACCTAGTTTTTCTCCCCAGTTTTTCTCCCCAGTTTGATCACGACTAATTCCTGCCCACCACATGTTTTTGAACTGCCGCTAATGCAGTTATTTTGATCAAAATAATTTTCTTTTTTTGGATTATGTAATTACACTGATTAATCAGAACACCCAAAGAATCTCACCTGGAACTGTGATTGGTCAAGATATTAACAGAAAACTGTACAAAACTTTGTGGTTGGTTTGAGGGCACATTTGCATACTGCAGCGTTCTGTGATATTAATATTGAAAATGTCAGTATCACAATGATGATTAACAAACAATATATTGTACAGCCCAATACTGTAAGTAAACACCAACTATGTAATTACTTCTTCAGGAATATTTAGTATAACTGAACTTTCGATACTTTTTACCTCAATTGTTAAATCCTGGTGCTCACACACCTTCTACCATCGCCAGCTTCTCCAAACAAACACACAGATCGATGTTCAAGACATTGCTGAATGAGTGCACCCCCCCTCGTCTCTCTGTCTCTCCCTCATCACCTCAGGCCCGTGTTAATTACGAGTGTTCTGTCTGCACTCCGGTGTTGTGACCTTCCCCCCCGTGTTGGCCGATTATGTGCTTACCGCTTGTATCAAGGCCACATCGATCGCTTAGCTGGGTACAAATTAAGATTTAAACCTGACGTCACAGGAACTATTGGTTTTTACATTTGGGGCATTTGCAATATGCAAGGCTCATTGATCCAGGGAGGATGTGCTTCAGCATGTTGGAGCAACTGTGTGTGTGTGTGTGTGTGTGTATATGTTCTGTTGTTATCTCAGTTCTCTCACAGTTCTTTGTTTGTGTGTGTCTCTTTCTCTGCAGGAAAACAGTTCACCGGAGGAACACACACTCTACGTGTGGGACCACTTCATTTCCAAATCGCTCGCTGAAAACATCTTTGTTGTTGCTCACAGCTACGGCGGCCTGTCTTTCGTGGAGTTGGTGAGTGTTTATGTTTTTGAAGAAAAAAAAAAGAACAATAACAATATGGACACACACATACACACACTTGGCCTCACCGGTGGGAGAGTCAACTCTTTTTCCGAGAAGGTAAGAAAGCAAGAGAAATGATTAAAAATAAATAACGTTTAGTTTCGTTGAAAAAGTGCTGCTTCTGTAAACAATCCAGTTCATCCTTATCCTAGGGCACTATCCACTCTGCAGAGAGAGGAAGGGAGAGAGAAACAGAGCAAAGGTTTGAAATGCGGCTCTATTATGCCGTACTGAAGACACAAGACAGTAAAAGGGGAGAATGTCGGAGATAGATGGCAACATGTACTTGAAGGGCACTGAGGAGAAAGGAAAGGGAAGAGAATGTGATAGAAAGAGAGGAAAGAGTGAAAATAGAGGAGCAGCACTGGAGTGGATTCCTTGCTGTTCCACAGCTTGTCTACACCTTAACTACTTAGACTCGAAAGGCCACTGCACACTGAACATGCTGTGTCATGCGGCTTGAAGCAAACACGGTACTAACCACAGCTGTACTACATATACTGATGAGCCAAAACATTTTAAACACATTCTGCTGAATCTAATAATGTTGATTATCTAGTAACAGCAGCACGCATCAATGTCTGGGATATAGTAGTTGACATATTGGATGCAGGAGAAGTTGGCAGGCATGAAGACCTGAGCGGCATTGACAAGGGCCAAATCATTATGGCCAGACAACATGGCATCTCCGAAACAACAAAGCTTGTGGGGTGCTCCCAGTCAGCAATGGTGAGTAACAACATTGTTCCAAGGAGGGACGAACCATGATGTTGGGCACCCAAGACTCATTGATGTGTGAGCGAAACAAAGGCTATCTTGTCTGATCTGAACTGACACAAGGGCTACTGTGGCACAAGTCACAGTTTTTAATGATGGTTACTGGAGGAATGTCACAACACACAGTGCATCACACACTGCTTGGTATGGGGCTGCATAGCGGCAGACCAGTTATGTGCCCATGCTAACCCCTGTCCACCGTTAAAAGTGCAATGCGATCACAAGCATTGGAGGAAGATGGTTGCCCAGTTGACCACCTGAATGACCAGGCACATGTGCACCATTTACCTGGAGAAGCGATGGCACCAAGATGCACAAGCTATTGGAGGGAGTATAATGCTCTGAGCAGTATTCTGCTGACCCTGGCTCAGGGTATTCATGTGAACACCAGTTTGATGTGCCACCTGTCTAAGCATGTAGTTCACTTTGTAAGTGGGATTATACATTTGTCACTGCTAAGATAATGCTATATTCCACTATCTAATGAGGTTTTGAATATTAGCACCAAGCTAATGGTTGTGAATGTTTACATTTTCAGCAGCTCTCTAGAATAAACATAAACCTTCAAGTAAATTTTCTTTACTTTGAATGTTAGTAGCTATCATAGAAATGCAGCAAATCTGAACAGCATATAGAATCACATGCTTTCTATAATGGGAAATACACCAATACAGCAGAGACCTCTAGCTATTTCACAGCATCTCAGATGGTAAATACAAGTAACGTGTATGTCTTCGTTAATTACTTTGTACTTGAAATGAGGTGATATTCAGAGGAACATTTAATGTAGAAAAAAATCTACAGGCTTTGAAACTTGTTAATTAATTAGAGAGCTTGATACTGCTGATTTCCAAAAACATCATTCATTTTTCCCGCACAGAAAAGCGGATTAGACCCAGGGCTCTTCTAGATGCTAATGGTGAACTAGAAAAAGACAACACATATTTTAAGGTATAAAGTAAGTCTGTTTTAGGATTAATAGTTGAGTAATAAGCTGACAGTTTAAGGGGTTAGTAAATCTGTGTTCTCTGTGGTGGGTCATGTTGACTTTTCTGAAACTCCCTGAGCTAGCTGCAGCTAGGCTAGGTGCACTAACAGCTATGACGGCTGGCTCAGCTGACTCGCCTTTGATCTCTGCCCCTCACACAAAAACACACCGATACACACACTTGCACACATCCACACACTGTCCCTGAACCCAGATCTGTTGAGCCATCCCTTCTCTCTGCTTTTGAAGTGGGGGATGTGTGTTAGCGGTTAGTGGATGGCTATGGGCTTCTCTTTGAAAACTCCAGGGGTGTGTGTCGAGTGTGTGTCCTTCGCATACTGGGAGGGTCTTTGTTTAGTTATTTGAATATGAGTGTTAATATTCATGGAACAGACTGGCTCTCACTGGCCAGGCTGTGGATGATACAGTTCCTCTGAAATGTGCTTATTGAGGAATAATATGCTAATGTTGCTAACAGTGAAGGAAAGTGAATAGCCACCAAATAGCATTTTACAAATGACATGCCAACTAATGTTCACTCAGAATTATTATTGATATTATTATTATTTTTATTATTGTTATTAAATGCCGTCAAGTTTGTTCCAACTCCTGCCAACCAAATTGGTTTTGCATAATGTATCTCCAGAACAACCTGTCTTCTGTTTGAGTTTTCAGGCTTTTTTTTTAGTGGCTGGTTTATGATTCCTCTGGTTCGTGTATCCAACCATCCATCCATCTTGTTGCTGGTCCTCCTCTTCGTCTTTAACCCTTCCAAGCCTGATGGTGTTTTCCAGTGAATTGGTTCTTCTCAGAATGTGTCCAAAATAAGACAAGCTTCAGTTTGGTTATCTGGGCTTTAAGGGAGAGGTGAGGCTTGATTTGTTTGAGGATCCATTTGTTTGTTTTATTTGCTGTCCAAGGCGCTCTCAGAAGACTTCACAGAGTTCAAAAGCATCTACATTTTTCCAGTCTCACTTGTTTATTTCCAACTTTCACATCCATAAAGAACCACAGAGAAGACCATAGCCTGGACAATTCTGATCTTTGTTCGTAGAGACAAATTGTTGCATCTAAAGACTTGCGAGCTCCTTCAGTCTTGTTCTACTGAGTACCAATCTGTGTTGTATTTCTTGATGCTGGATCCTCTGTTTTTAACAAATGATCCAAGTAGGCAAAAGCTGTCTGCCATTTACACATCTTCTCCATCAATGGTAAAGTTAGCAGTCTTTCTTGTCATTATAACCTTAGTTTTCGTCATACTGAGCTAAAGTCCTCTTCACTCTGTTCTTTAACCCTCTTTATAAGGGCCTTCAGTCTTCCAGATTTCCAGAGTGTAGTATCATCCGCATATCAAAGACCAATTTATTGTATTAAATTTGGCAGATCTGTGTTGTGATTTTATGAGGTAAATAAGGTGATGCGCAAAATTATGCATGACTCATTGTGCCATTTTAGACCAAATAATGTTGTTTTATATTGTTTAGCTAATAGAAAGTACTGGAAATGTTGATATATTTCATGTATTCATGTGGTCTTTACTCCTGAGGTGAGCTTCAAAAAACAAAACAAAACATATGCTATTGGCAATTTATCAACCATAAAAATTTCTGAATAGTGCATCCCTAGTTAAAATATATTTGTCTTCATTAGCATCCAATGTTACCAGTTATTGGTTAGCTGTTGTTTTAGCTCATTAACACATCTGAGTCTCCATTATGTTATTCATCTGACTCAAAAACCTACTGATTTCCCTTGGCTACTTTATAAATAAAACAGGTTTTGAAATGTATTTTTCTGTGTGATGCAAAATTTTTGTGCAACACCAGTGCTATCACCTAAAAAAATGAGACATAGTTCTACATTAATTTTAGCCAAAATCTATTTTCTTCTTTCTCTCCATTCCTCCATATTCTCAATTTTTCTCCATTTTTCCTTTTTTTTCTTGTTTCCACAGTTAACTGGATATCTGTTCATGTACTTATATGTATACTTGAATATCAAAATTATTGACAATGCATATCTTTAAGCATGATGTAGCTTATCCTAATGATAACAGTGTCATATCACCCACCACTGATTTAAGATCTATTGTAAATATGATTTATATGATTTACATTAGTTACCTTTGTCTGTAGTTTAGACTGTGTGTGTTTGTGTATCTGTGCCATTCTGGCACATTTTTCCTTTGGCCTGAACTTTTCTTCCATTTTCTTCAACCTCCCTGGAGAAAACTCTTAGCTCATGCTGTGTGTGTGTGTGTGTGTCTCTGTCACCTCTGACATCACGGTCTCATCCTCCATTCCAAAACCTCAACCTCTCAGGACAACACCGCTGACCTTTGACCCGTAAAGAGTGCTGAAGTCAACTGACCGTGAAAGCGCAATCTCTCACTTTCTAAACACACACACACACACACACACACACACACACACACACACACACACACACACACATCCATTGGTAGAATGACTGAAGAGTTCCTCTCAGCATCTTCATGTTGATTAAATATCAGGAGTTCTTTTCAGAATTGTGAATGATGTTTACCTTCATTTACTGTATTCTCATAGTCTCATACACACATAACATACTGGCTTTAAGACTGCTTAAGCACTGCGGCTGCTATGATACTTTATGAAAAAGAGCAGAAAAAACTAGCCCACCAGCTAATTGATGAGGAAAGTGGTCCGAGGGGATTGGAGAGGGTAAAAGGCGAGAGGAAGAGTGAGGGGAGGAGAGGGAGAGGTGGAGGAGCGCATTGGCTTTAGCCGGGATAGACCATTTGACACATGAACGGCGCCTCAGAAAACAAGCTGTCTGTGGGTTAATTACTGCTCGCTTTTTGCAGTTAATAAACATGTTTCTGATCAAGCACATCAAACGCTGGCCGATTAATTTCTCCTCTCTGCCTCTCTCTCTCCCTCTCTCTCTCTCCCTCTCTCTGTCTCTCTCTCTCTCTCTCTCTCTGCTGTGCTGTGCTATTTTACTCAGATTTGATTTTTGAGCACATCATAGACTGTAAGGCCTAATTATAGATACATCAAAGCGCAGCTAAAGGCCTGAGAGAGGGGGGAGCGAGAAGGCAGAGAGCACTGGCTTTTCCTCCTCCTTTACTCGCACAGGCCATCTCTCTCGCTCCTCCACTCCAGCCATTTCAGTATTCAAATTCTTGCTGCTTTTCTCCATC